CAATCCTATTTAAAATCAGCTTATACCTTACACAGCTGTCCCAGAAGTTGCAACATAGTTCTTTGGATGCCTGAATGTTTCCAACACATTGAGACAGCTAAGCTGATGTCGCAAGCCTTCTTTCACTTGGTCTGCAGGGAGCAGTAATGAAACTCCATGTAGCAGATTTTACAGGATCCTTTCTCCAAAGCTGAACCAAGCTCAGAAAAAAACTTCCTGTAACTCTATGTAGATGTACAGTTAGTCGCTTCTGAGGACCACTTTACAGGCTCAGAAAGAAACTGAACAAGCACTACCCCATACTGCCACTACTTAGGAGTCGTCCTAAGCTGAATCTGTATCTGGCTGCTTGTGCTCCTCATGAAGTTGAAAATACAAACTTGGGATCAGTTCTGCACACGGAACAGGAGCTCGGGGGAGCCCAGAGATATAAAACCAGCTGCAAAGTACCTCCAGGTTTCTATTTACTGAGGTTTTCCCATGCACATACAAAAGAATTAATCAGGCATGTGGGCTGACCTGTCAGAAGCGCGGCTGAGCCGAAGTCTAGCGCAAACCCGGCATAAACATACAAACCAACCCACCCAGCCCTGCCTTAGGATCCCCGCGCTATCTCCCGGCTAAAGCCTCCCCGCGCCGGCACTACCGGCAGTACCGGCCGCCGGCTGCCCCCGCCGCAGACACCCTTCCAGTGGTGGATTAGCGCTCTGCTAGAGAGCGGCAGCGGGGAAACACCCGCACCACCAGCCCCGCACGCTGACACCTCCCCGCCCGGGCGGCAGCCAGCGCCGGAGCCGCCGCGACGAATCCCGGGGCCGGTGTCACTGGAAGGGGGACAGGTCGCGCCGCAGTCGGCGGGTACCCGGGAGGAGCCGCGGCGGGGCCAGGTACCACCACCTGAACAAGGGACGGGCGAAAGGAGGATGCTTAAGTGTCCCTCTTTTTTGTCTTCCTTACAAGGATGAATAAATGAATAACGCAAAGCCCGCCGAGCACCCACCCCGGCCGATCCCCCCGCCACCCGGCCCGGTGAACGGGAAGGGTCTCACTTACGGATCTTGACTTTGCGGTGGTCGAGGCGGGCAAGGAGCGCCTCCAGTGCGCCGAGGCGGCGCTGGAGCCGGGCGTTGCGATGGCAGAGGGAGTCCGCCTCGCTGAGGATCCCGCCGAAGATGTCGCCGGCGCAGCGGGAGAGGTCGGAGAGCTGCATGAGCAGCGACACCAGCGCGTACGAGCTGACCTGCTCCAGCGCCCCGAAGAGCGGCACCGCGCCCCGGCGGCGCCCGGCGCCCCCCTCCGCCGCCCCGGAGGGGTCCCCCGGCGCCGGGCCGCCCCGCTCCGCGCCATCCCCGCCGGCCTCCTCCAACCTGCACAGCTTCAGTGGCTCCAGGGTCCGCAGGGGGAACGGCATCGCGGCGGGGGAAGGCGGGCAGTATAGGGCACGGCTGGGAGGGGGGAGAAGCTAGGCGTCCCCGCCGCGAAAAGTCTTCATCCGCGCAGCGGCCGCGGTGACAAAAGTTCAGAGAGAGCAGAGAGAGAAAGAGGGAGGGAGAACAACAACAAATGAATCGGGGCGGGAGGGCGGCCGGGCTACGAGCTCCGGGGCTGGGCAAGAACAGCCGCTGCTGCCGCCGCCTCGGCGGAGCCCCGCTCGGCGCCCATGTGCGGGAGCGGCCCCGGGGGCGGGAGCGGCCCCGAGAGGCGGGAGGAGAGGGAGGGAGCGGAGCGGGGCCGCACGGCGGGCGCGGGGAAAGCGGCGCTGCCCTGCGGCCGGGAGACAGGAAAGAGTCCGTGTTTCTCTCCCTGAAGCGGAGACTGAGCAGGAGGAAGCGTGGGAAGGGGGCCTGAAGCGCCCTGGATGCGGCCACAAAGGAGGAAGGCCAGCCAGAGGGAGGGGGAGGAGAAAGAAGCGAGCCCGCAGCAGCCCCACCTGGGGAACCCCTCGCCGTTGCAGGCACTTTTCTGAGCGCACCAAACTCCCAACCCGGAAAGCGAGAGCTGAGAAGGAGAGAGGGAGGAAGGGAAAAAAACCTCCGCGAACCTGGGAAAAGAGGCCGCCGCCTACCTGTGGCTCCCCGAACTGGAGCCTCTGCCAGAACCTCACCCTGCCGGCCCCGCCGCCCCCCGGCGGACACCAGCCCGCTTCTGCCCCGCTGCCTCCCCCTGGCAGGAGAGAGGAGCCGAGCAAGAGATGGCGCAAGGTCGTCGCTGTCCCCCCCTCCGCCCCAAGCCTCAGCCCCCTCCCCGCCTGCACCGCAGGTCTGGCCGGAGGTGCTGCTCAAGGCAGGGGAGGAAGAGCAGCCGGCCTGGGAAACGGGGGTAGCCGTGTGAGCGGAGCTCCGACTGTTGTTTGTGGTTAATTTTTAGTACGGTCGACGCTAAGGTGGGAAAAGCAAAGTCTGAACCAGGCAGCATGACATCGAGCGTTGCAGCACCAAACGTTACCCCAGCGCGTAGTTCTGGTATGGGCCAAAGGCAAGTTTAAACCATAGAAGCCCCTACGAGACACAACCAGCTCTTCACCGGGACGACTGCTCTAATGAGCTATTCCCCACAGAACCAATTTAGTCCACTAGCAACTGTCAGCAGCTGCTCTTTAATTTTAATTGGACAATGCCCTGCTGGCTCCAGCTCCTGCTCTATGATAAAGAGGGGAACACAATCCCTCTCTTCTTGAGGAAAAGGACCTTGGGGAAAAGTGTCTGTACAGTTCCCTCCTGCCCTGTAGTTTGCTGCAGCTGATGAATCTCAGTGATGAAGGAAAGAGAATCAGCTGGGGAATGAAGGATCTAGAGACAGACCCACTGTGTCCTTTCATTAGCATCCTGGGGACACATAATTTATAACAAAATATTGTAGTGATTCTCATATGTAGTTTTAGCTTTGGTTGTTTAAGGGATACCTGAAGAAAACTATTCCGCCAGTAGTGTTTCAGAAACTCCTTGGTGCATAGAGGAGTCTGGGAGCAAGTCTGCATGCAGTGGAATACAAACCAAGGACTTGCTGGCATGCAAAAGAGTTAAGATCTACAAGAAACACATTTAGGGGTGATACTCATATGCAAAAATTGCAAGTGACTAATTCTTCTCTTACATTAATCAAGTTTTTCATCTTCAGGTTTTCCTGAGGGAGTGAGAAAAGGAACCAGCAATGCAATATAGTTAAAAAAAATAAAGAACAAAACTGTATTTCTTCAGACCTCAGTCCAAAATAGGTTACCAGTGGATAACTTTGCAACTTGGAATGCTCCTACTGATTTTCTGTTACAGACAGTACCACCGAGTGCATATGTGCAGTATTTGTAGAACCTGATGAGAAGAACATGGTGCAAACAGGCTAAACGGCATTTAAGCACAGAAGGAATCCTAAGCAATAGTCTTTCAACAGGGAAGCTGTCAGGATTGATTAACAGAGGATGGAAAGCAGTCATTCTCTTATAGTGAATTCTTCTGGTTTTATTTTGGAACATAATGTCTTCATTACTTCTTAGACGTGTTTGGGATAGTTGTTTGATAAAAGCTCTGGCCTGTTCACTGACATGCTTGAATTGAGAGGAGCATACCTTTGTATGTTTTATTTAAGTTGTAGGAGTGTGATGTGGAAACCAAGTATGAAGTGGACTTAAATATAAAACACAGTAGGAAGAGCACAAGCAAAGAACTCATTCAGGTGTCAGCTGAAAAGAACCCACAGCAACTTATCTGCTGGGGCGAATATCATATAAGACCGTGAGCATGTTTGTTTGACTGAAAATTACCGATTTTTACTCTGAATTTTAGTGATTGGTAGTTTAAAAAAGAAATAATTACCAGTCTAACAGCCTTTCTGAAAATTCGCATCAAATCCTGGTATTGCAACTATTTTTGCATGTTCCTATCTGTAAGCAGGGAAAAGGATTTAAACCAGGTTTGAGGAGAGGGAGAATAATAACAAGAAACCAAAATTTAGGTAACACCTAAACATAGCAAAGAGCCTCAGCTACTGTGAGTGAGCGGAATTCCACTGCAAGTGAAGCCTACTTTACCTATTTCACTGGTTCCTGTGTTTGCAAACTGGAAAATTAATTAGTGTGACACCTTGAGCATTTCTGGTGCAAATACTGTCTCATAACCAAGTTAAACCAAGTTAAGAAATAAATCTGAATTTTAAATGCACTGACATTCTTGAAGCATTCGAAGTCTGTGTGTTTATTGCAGATGATACTCTGTTTCTTTTACTTGGGCCTGTTTTTCTGGGATGAGCTGTTACCACATGGAATACTCAGAAGGAAAACAAATGTGAAAAAAATTTAGATATTGGGTGACTGTGAACATCAGTTAACTGAAACCAGTAAAGGACGGTCTCAGAGATTGTTTCTTCTGTCAAAAAGTAAGAGACATAAGAAGGGCAACAGAGCTTAAATACTTATACAGTTCAAGATTTAAAGTATTCATCATGCTGAAAAGGAAGCATTTAAAAATTCTAAGTTCAGTGGAAACACTGACTTTCAAAGGGGCACCCTGTCCCTCTCCAGGACCTGTGCATATTGTCTACTTCAAGCGGTTAAGGTTGGAAAATGTTTACTTTCCTGTCAGCACTGCAAGGATGGGGAGGCCCAGGGGAGCACTAGGGCTAGGGACAGTGCCTGGCAGGGCAGCAGCAGTGGCTGCCCCAGATCTTCTCCCCATTGCCCTTGGCGAGCCACTCCTGCAGCTCAGGGCCCTGCACATTCATGTCAGTTCAGTCTGTGGCAGTTGTGCTGCAGCAGTGGTAGGAGCAAGGTGCTGCTTTAGCTGCATGTGCTGGAGAAGGAGGTCTGTGAGTTTGGTGGACAGCAGTCACTTTCGCTCCTGCAGCTAAGTCTGGCAGAGTTGTGACCCAAAGTTCTGGGTCGCACACCTGCAAATACGCACAGTCAGGAGTGGGAGGTCCTCTGAGAGGAGGAGCAGAGCCTAGAAAACCAAGATGCAGAGGAGGAAGGCAGGCAAAGGGACAGTAGAGGCTTTACTGAATATTTCAAGTTAATATTGATTTCATGTTTAATGGAAGTTCAAAGTTCACTGGAAAATTCATCCCGTCTGAATTGTAGCTTTCTTCCTTCAGCATTTAAAACCTCAAGTTAAATTACCAAATTAAAGACCTAATAAGTTTCATGTTCTATTTCAAGAAACAGAAGACAAATCTTGTGGGAGTTACTCATCACCTATTACGGAATGAATACTGTCCTTCCCTCAGCTTGCTTCTGCAATCTGTTTGGGTTCTGAGAAGCAAATGGTGAGCAGCAGTACAAAAGTCATGTGGCCAACCATGAAACATCAGACAGTTCTTCCTGAAATTGTCAGTACTGCCAAGAGGGGAGTTTAGATGTGGTCAGCTGGTATCACCAGGCTTACTCACTGTAGCTTAGCCCACAGATTCAAGCTCCATGCTTGTGTAGGCTAGGAAAACTCAATCAAGTTTCAAAACAGAAATAGACATCACTACAGCTTGGAGGGATAAAGGAGGGCATTCCTTTGTTGCTCCCAGAGCAGCACTAATGGGCTCTGGTTTGTAATTTAGAAAGCAAGCTCAATGTTGAGCTGCGGAAGTTTGGTGTAAGCTTAAAATAGAGGCAATTATGCAAAAAGAAGGTTGTTTTCTGACATTGAATAAAAGAAAGGAAAGAGTGATTTCCTGATTAACCAGAAGTATGTGGATGTTCCCAGTCTTGTTGGACCATTGGTCTCTTCTAATCATTGTACTTTTAATTTCTGTCTTCAATAGAAAACCTTTTTCAAAGAAACCTGCATAAGATAGGCAGAAAATAGGAGTAGATCTGACTCCTGACAAGATTAAATAGTACCAGAGTTTTGCCAGTTTCTTTTGTGGTGTGTCCCTCATGACTGCTTACATTTTGTGCTTTATATAAGTGCTACCAAATGATCAAATTAATTACCACAGAAAAAAGTAGTAGCTGTTTTGCTGGGTTCCTTTGAATGTACACACTGGTATTAGCCTGATGATCACCTTTGCCTGATGATGCAGCAGAACTTCCAAACATCACTTTTCTTCCAGTTTACCAGTGCCAGGAACTGTTCTTGATTTTTTTGTGTGTGCTGAAATTAGTATGCAGTATGGCCCAAAAGACTCCTTCCTTGTCCAGAAATGGAATCTTGTGGATATTCTTTTAAACCTAATAGCAGAACTTCTCTGATGATGACAAGCATTCCTTTGACACAGGTTGCTTTACAAAGTCCTATTTCCCTGGACATTCATCATTTCAAACTCCTGTCAGCCCCAGCCTGCTTGCCTGGCTTATCCCTGGGTCATGCACATGCTTGAAGCCTGGAGCTGAGCTCCCCTGGCTGTTTAGTTCTGCACTTTTTTTTTGATGGTTTTCTTCACCATATTATCTTTCCCATTAAACAAAGGCTAACTCCAACTCCTTCACCCCTGATATTCAAAGTGCTTAGCAGATGAATCCACACTTTTCCTAGTAGATGAGTTTGGTATTTTCTTGAGCACTATCTTAAAGGTTAGTGGTTTGTTGCACCAGTCCCAGTGATTTATTTGTCCCTGCTCTTTTTTTATCCTAACATTAAACTAAAACTTACTGCTGGAGTCTGTCTGGTTTGTGCTTCTGCTAGCTGCTCCCGGAGCTCTGAAGACCTATAGAGCTGTGTATCTACAGAAATGCAAGAGTCAGTACACTACATTCTGCCAGCTTAAAGTTTCTCAAACACTTTCTAATTCTTCTACCTTTACACAGTTGTCTGTGGATAAAAGTCAAGCTAGCAATGGTGCATTGAAGCAATCAAAGCTAACTGCAGTAGGAACAACCCCGTGGAGGAAGTGGTAGTTATGATGGCCTAAGGATATGATTCAACAACACAACAACCAGGCATTACAGCTTTTGCCTCTAAAAGAGGAGCTTTTCTACCCCTGCTTCCTTCCTTCCATTCCTGCTGTATCTTGCTCTGCAAGCATCTGAAGTCTTCAGTGTAGAACTACTGCAGCTCTGCTGTGTAAAATGAGGCGGCTGACATGGTGTGAAGAAATTGCCGGAAAATGTACTCTCTGCACTTCAAGACACAGCAGTACGTTGGATCGTTCTCAGGGGAGCAGAACAGTGAGGCAAAATTTAGGCTGTGAACAGAAACACATGCAAGAGATCATAGAGCCTAGCGAAGCATGACTATAACGTTACAGCCCACTCAGAGCTCAAAGTGATCATCAGAGGCGTTTTAGTTGTTGTGTTCAATGGACTACAGCATGAAGAGAAGACTGCCACTGTGTCAGTGTGGAACTGAGAAACAACTCACTTTTAGGACTCCAATTCTTGGAAAATGGCAATAATTCCAAGATGCATCTCCCCATATAGAGCCCAAGCTGCTGAGAAATTATCTCAATGGATCAATACTAGTCTTGGAGTTTGAGATGTCATTCTAGTTTTCTTCATTTGGTTGGAACATTTATGTGTCTTTTAACAAAGTGCATTCCTCGCTTCCACTTTCTCTGTGGCAGAAAAAACTTCTGAGATATTCTTATCCTAACTGATAAAGCGTTTATCTTTCTATTTTACAAGGACTTTGGCCATCTAAATATCATGGAATCACGGAATCAAAGCATCACAGAATGGTTTGGGCCATAAGGGACCTTGGAAGACCACCTAGTTCCCATGCCCCCTGCTGTGGGCTGGGACATCTTTCACTAAATCAGGTCACTCCAAGCCCCACCCAGCCTGGCCTAGAATGCTTGCCAGGGTGGGGCTTCCACAACTCTGGGCAACCTGTTCCAGAGCTTCACCACGCTTATGAAAAATTTCTTCCTAATATAAATTTAACCTAAGTAATGTATAAATTATTCCTTATTACTCAGTTCCATAGCTACAGGTTTGCATACAGCAAGGAATTGTAGGACAGGAATATGGGTGTCATTATTTGTGAAAGAGAAAACATTCAGCTGGAAAAACAAAGGCTGGAGGAATTATCAGCTGAAAATCAGACTCAACATATGGAGATTTCATAAATGCGGTCCCTAGCTTTAATGAGAACAGTTTTTGTTGAAAGCTTTTGTAAATTCCATATGAAATTTTTATTTATCTAAGACAGTGACCACATTTATGTCTTCTCTAATTGTATTATATGTAGCCTCCTTTGAAGTAATTACACTGTTTACATTTCGATTCATTAGCTAAACATCATCACAAAAAAAACCTAAAGCAGTTTGAAAAACAATTCAGCCAAACAAGACTTGAAATTGTATTCTTTTAACAAGGCTGATTATCTTCTCAAATGAATGCCTCAGGACTCAGGGCAAACGACACATCCAACGGACAGGAGCCTCTTAAAATTGCTTCCTGGTGTGCAGACTGTGCTGGTCATTAAAACAGAACACAGCTTCTCCTTAGGTATTAGCTTTCCAGCACCAGTCACTACAGCTATAGTGAAGTATTTGTTTAAATTATATATGTAGTACTTTCTAAAAAATATGCCACCCTAGTTTTTTTCAGTGGATGACCACAGATGGATACTGGAGTATGCCAGTCTGTCAAAAATGAATTTTGATACATTTTGATACAGCAGGTAAATAAAATATGGGCTTTGGTCACCGAAAAAACATAGGGTGTGATAAACCATCTATGCACCAACACAGATTCCCCCATTCTCCTCCTTGCAAGGGAGCACGGTTTGTCACTCTGACCTCCACCATGAATAGAACCAGTTACTGGTGAGATTATAGTGGAACTGTGTGCAGCAATCTGCAACAGACTCCATCACCTGTCCAATTTTGTAGAGATTTTGTTTGGATACCACTTGAAACTTTCAGATTGAAAAAAAAAAAAAGACAAAATACTTCCTAAATATATTTATTATACTATCCATGCTTTGGGCATTTACAGGAAGCCAGAAAAAAAATATTTAGGTTTTAAGCTGATTTAAAAAAAACATTTATTTGGGAAGAATATATCACTGCGGTAGATCATAAAAAGTCTCTGGCTGCCATGTTTATGTTCCTCTGCATGATTTCATGCTGCAAAGCTCAGTGTTTCTGTTTATATACCCAGTCAGTCTCAGACACTGGCATATTGCTAATAATTACTAGCAATTAAAGTCTAATAAAACATTTTCAAATTCCCAAATAATAATTTGGAAATTCGACAATAAGGGGAGAACTATTCTATGGTTATCTAGAAATTACACTGAGTAGTAAAGTCTGCACGACATGGAGTAATAGTTGAGGATCTATATGCCTCCAAATTGGGAAACTGAAAGCAATACCTGTGATTGCTGCCACGTTTGTATTTTTTACAACCCTATGTGGTGTCAGTACTACTGCTTTACAACCAGTATGATCTGGTGTTGCAGAAATGTTACTATTACAATGTCTACTTATACAAACAAAACCTTATATTAAAATAAATTGAACGTGATATTAGAGAAAGTAAAGGAAATTAGGATTTTTAGCACACACTTCTCTCAATGTTCCCAAAGGTTTCTGGGTACCAAATATGTGATTGTGCAATCACTGTAAGAAATGCAGCTGTGTTTATTTCACTGCATAGATCAGACAAACTGTGCAAACTAAGCATCAGCCTCTTGTTCATACATCAGCCTCTTGTTCATAAATCAGAAAAAAAAAATGCAGCACAATATGCAAGATTTACTCAGACCTTCTTTCTGTTCCAAGTGTTTTCAGACTTGGCAGAGCACACGTCCCTTAGAGGACTATGAACATGCTGAGTTTTAAGCATTTCTAGCAAAATAGTTTTTTAGTTAGTTCAAGAAAAATGTATAAACACTTTGCTTAATAGCATAGGAATCAACTTTTAAATACAGTGAGATACAGCTAAAAAAGTTCTGTTTACTGCTTCTTAAAAGTGGGGTGAAAGAAAGTGTAAAGAATTTCAGACTATTTCCTATTTCAGGAATAGCCTCTTTATAGAATTATAGAATAGCTAGGGTTGGAAAGGACCTTAAGATCATTCAGTTCCAACTCCCCTGCTATGGGCAGGGACACCTCACACTAAATCATATCATGCAAGGCCCTGTCCAGCCCAGCCGTGAACACCACCAGGGATGGAGCATTCACAACCTACTTGGGCAACCCATTCCAGTGCCTCACCACCCTTACAGTAAAGAACTTCCTCCTTATACCCAATCTAAACTTCTCCTGTTTAAGCTTTAACCCGTTACCCCTTGTCCTGTCACTACAGTCCCTAATGAAGAGTCCCTCCCCAGCATCCCTATAGGCCCCCTTCAGATACTGGAAGGCTGCTATGAGGTCTCCACGCAGCCTTCTCTTCTCCAGGCTGAACAGCCCCAACTTTTGCAGCCTGTCTTCATATGGGAGGTGCTCCAGTCCCCTGATCATCCTTGTGGCCTTCCTCTGGACTTCTTCCAACAGTTCCATGTCCTTCTTACGTTGAGGACACCAGAACTGCACACAATACTCCAAGTGAGGTCTCAAAAGAGCAGAGTAAAGGGGCAGGATCACCTCCTTCGACCTGCTGGTCATGCTCCTTTTGATGCAGCCCAGGATACGGTTGGCTTTCTGGGCTGCAAGTGCACACTGCAGCCAGATCATGTTCATTTTCTCATCGACCAGCACCCCCAAGTCCTTCTCCACAGGGCTGCTCTGAATCTCTGCCTAACCTGTACCTGTGCCTGGGATTGCTCCAACACAGGTGTAGGACTTTGCACTTGGCATAGTTAAACTTCGTAAGGTTGGCATCAGCCCACCTCACAAGAGTGTCAAGGTCCCTCTGGATGGTATTCCTTCCCTCCAGTGTATCAACCAAACCACACAGCTTGGTGTCATCGGTAAACTTGCCAAGGGCGCACTCAATCCCACTGTCCATGTCACTGACAAAGATGTTGAATAAGACCAGTAACAACACTGATCCCTGAGGAACACCACTCGTTACTGGTCTCCAATAGAATTAAATTTTAAAATTAAAAAAGAAAATGCAGACTATATTTGAGCCCCCTTCCAGGAGTCTCCCTTACGGTATCTTTCCAGAAGTTTACAAATTTATGCCCTGGTTGTACATATGCAGAAAAAACCCAACTAAACCCCAAAACCAGTCTCACAGTGATTCCACTTTGGTTCTTTAACGTGTTGATTTTTTCTGTGCATTGTATTTCATGACAGTTACAACTGAAGTTTCCAATACTAATACATTTACTGTGATTCACAACCAAAACCTATAGGTGCATGTAGTCATCTATGTTTCACTGAAGTCTGTATCTTTTTACCATGCTTTTCCCTGTAGCTGTTTTTTTAATATACTTTGTTAAGGATGCCTTATTTAAACCTGTTATTTTGTGAAGATTAATTTAAGAAAACCTTAAAATAGAAGCCTTCTCAGTAATATCTATTGTACTGTGCCATCATTAACTATTAGGCTACATACAGTTGCCTTCAGTGAAACAGTGCTACTGATTCCCCACTGGATTCTGTCATGTATTCAAGCCTTAAATCTTTTGCTACACAGGCACTCTTTATTCTACAGGAATATAGAACCCGCAGCCACAGGTGTCCTGCTTGGACCTGAGACCTCTCATTGCTATTTCTTTTCAGCCCTTGCAAAGGAAAATGCTTCAAATATTTAACTTTTCCTTTCTTAATTAGAGTTACTAGAGTAAAATCATATTAAACAGAAAACTCTATTATAGTGTTTACCATATGCATTGCTTAGAAACAGCTTTCTGTATAAATATTTCTATGTACATTTATTCTCTTTAGGGCATGGATTTTTGTTTGTTTTTAGGTCTGCATTTGTATATGTCTAACAAAACAGTCTGAAATAGCAAACATGCTTCCCAGTGTCAGTCTGGGAGAACAGACACGTAGTCAGTGGAACTTCTCAGCAATATATCTTCTATCCTGGAAAAATTAGAATCACGTGGTGATTTAAAACATCATAGCAGTTGTATATTTACTGAGCCCCCAAGCTATAGAGGGGGAAGGGAACTAAATTTCCCAAGAAACATGAAGATTTGACTCAAGGCCAACTATGAATCTGACCAAAAAAACTGTAGACTTCAAATAACTCAGTCCTACTTCAGTACTAAGATAAAAATCTGAGTTATATTTCTAGAATATAACTATACATTTCTATATTTCTGAAACATAACTTTATTTCTATAGCTGTAACTATGAGAGCTATATTTCATGCTCTTCAGACATTCAGTAAAGGAAGTCCACTTGCTTGTCTTCGCAGACCTTTTTAGAAAATTACTGTGTTTTCTTGAAGTTTCCAAATGAGGCCCATGAATTAAGATTTTGCATATGGAATTTGCCATTTAAAAAAAAAAAAAAAAAAAAAGAAACAAGTATATTCAAGTTAGTTTTATGCTTTGAGTCTCAAGAAGAAAATTCTAAGTTTGCCTGGTTTTCCTTTAAGCCAAAGGATTAATCAACAGAATTCACCTCCAAATTCTTT